ACGCTGGCTATCTCCAGGCTTTGGAGGTCGCGCTCGCGAATGGGCACTAACGTGCGGCACGTCTGTTGACGCTGCACTTCCCACTTGGGCTCAGCTGAAGCAACAACTTTCGCGCGTGTTCGCGCCGTCTAATCAGGCGTACCGTATCCGGTCAAAGTTCCTTGCTACCCGCCAGGGTAAGAAGGATTTATTGGACTATGTCCAAGAGTTGAGAACTCTTATCGCCGGAATGGCGGCGGACCCTCTTCCGGAACTGGTCAGCGTGACCGTGTTTATGGAGGGACTTCGTGTGAGCGCAGCTCGAACGGAAGTGTTCCGTGTACACCCTAACTCTTTTGAAGAGGCGGTGGATGTGGCATTGAATGCCGAGCACAACTTCAGGTCGGCGCGACCTGGTTGGAGCGCTGGTAGCGCAAGCTCTTCGAGCGGTCCAGAGCCGATGGACCTCAGCTATGCTGAAGATGAAGAAGCGGAGCTTCTTGCTGCGGAGCAGCGCGCCGGCATCCGCCGATGCATTGTGTGCAATAGCACTAAGCACTTGAGGGCCTATTGCCCTCTGCGCAAGAAGCGCGAGGCTCCGGCGAGCCAACCCTCCGGGTCATCGCCGGGAAACGGCAACTCCCAGTAGGCGCGGGGCGGCCTACTGGGGAAGAACTGAGTTCTGTTGTGCCTCGAAGAGGTAGAGGACAACGGGGCTCAGCCCCGAAGAGAGCTGAGCTCTCTTACGAGAAGAGTGTGTGCAAGCCGGGCTTGCTGGTCGTTCAAGCGAACGTGAAGGGCTTTGCAAAGCCATGGAGAGTCTTGATTGACTCGGGAGCCTCGGGCAACTACGCCCGTCGCTCCACCCTGGAAGGGAGTCAGCTGTATGCTGAAGCACTGGAAGTGCCAACGAGAGATACGATCTCTGTCCGTCTCGCGACGGGGACACTGGTAACTGTGTCGAAGGTCTCTGTCGACCTTGGAGTGAAGTTTGAGAACTTCGATAGCGTGGAACGCTGTTTGGTCTTAGACCTGGATGCGAGGTATGGCCTCATCCTTGGCATGGCATGGCTGGAACGTCATGAGCCATGGATCGACTGGAAGTCGAAAACGCTGGGTGCGTCGCACCCTGCTCCTAGTGGAGCTTTGGTGAGTCATGAACCCACCTCTGCTAGGAAGCAGAAGCGCTTTTGGCGCGAGCACGAGGCCGAGGCGGCCGTAGTGCTGGACATTGGTATGTCCGAAATTGTTAGCAACGAGGTTGCTGTTTGCCCTGAGGGCGTACGTGGTGCGGCACGTTATCCGCGGAGCGGTGCAGGTCAGGTCAATGCAATGACCAACTGCTGGGTCCTGGTGAGGACGAGCGCGGAGTGGCGCGTAATCCACTGAGTGGTACGAATCTGGTCGATGACCTACCGCTGCGTGACCCTAGGGTCGCGGTCGACTGCGAGTCGAGGCATCATGGGCGTGGCCCAGGAGATGCAGGTGAAGTGACACCTAGTTCACTGTGTGAAGGTCAAGAACCTCTTGGCTTTCAGCCGAGTGTCTTGCGAGACACTGTATCCTCTTCGAGGAGTGATGGTGCTGCTGCACCCGGTGGTAGTGACGGAGATGTCGCCACACCGCCCTCATCCGGCCGGGCTCGGTCGCGGAGGGAGAGGAGAAGAAGACGCAGGGCGTCTGTGACGTCTTCGACGTCACAGATGTGTCCAACGTGACGAGCGGTGATGCTCCACGTGATTGCTGTGAACAGCTGTATACACTCGTGAACGGAGTGACGGGGGAGGTAGAAGGCGATATCAGCCTTGATACTCTGCCCGCTGCAGATGCTCTGCTAGAGCTGGACGAGATGTCCATTGCCGAGTTCGGCGAAGCCTTAAAGGCAGGCGAGCTAGCCGAGGTGGTCTTGCTGGGACCTGAGGAGGAGTTGAACTCCTCATCCGTCGTGGACGACGCGGTCCTAGAGGACACCAAGAAGGCGCTGAGCGCAAGAAGTGGATCGGCGATCGTCAAAGATCCTTCGGATCTATTCTACCCGGTGGTGAAGGAGTATGGAGACGTTGTCTCAAAAGACCCACCGACGGGCTTGCCTCCGGATCGAGGCGTGTGTCATGAGATTGACCTGGTTCCTGGAACCAAATACTGCGTAACAAGGCAATGGCCTTTGCCGAGAGAGCAGTGTGACGTCATTGACGCATTCTTCCGTGCGAAGCACGAGGCAGGGATGGTGCGTGAGAGTAAGTCTCCGCACTCGACACCCACGTTCTGTGTCAGAAAGCCGAACGGCAAGTGGCGCATTGTTCATGCTTTTAACAAGCTAAATGCGGCCACTATCCCGGCGCAAACGCCGATTCCTCGCAAGGATGTTCTGCAGAACAACATGGTAGGCTGTACGCTGTACAGCGCGCTCGACTTGGTCGATGGCTACTACCAATTGCTCATGAGAGCGAGCGACATTCCGCTGACAGCGGTGAGTACTCCGAGCGGTATGCTCTGGGAGTGGCTGGTGATGCCCCAGGGGCTGTCGAACGCACCAGCAACGTTCAATCGTCTTGTGACGCAGCTGTTTAGGCCCCACCGGGCGTACGCTCAAACGTACTTTGACGATATATTCGTCCATAGTCGTGCCGAGCACGGAAAGTCAGACGTGGATAACCACATTGACCACTTGCGAGCGGTGCTCGAGTGCATGCGCACTAATAAGTTGTATGCCAACTTGGACAAGTGCGTCTTTGGCGCGGAGGAGATACCTTTCCTCGGGTGCTTCATTGGGAAGCGTGGCTTACGGC